TCTCTGCAGATTAGTTAAAACATAGATAACACAGGTTTCTAATTATATTCATAATATCCAAGTGATTCAATAGTATTATAATAACTGAGTAATATATAACTTTCTATTGTCTCATTTTTAATTACTCTTATAAATTAGTCTATAAGAATTTTTCTTGATTAATCAAGATTATTTGATCTCTTTCAAATATATTTGCTTTTGGTAATTCTTAATGTGATATTAATACTTATTACTAGTCTTCGCAATAACTGTCCTCTTTGGTAGTTATTGATATCATAATAAAGATGATATTTCATTAATTTATTTTTTTACCTGTTATATTTTCGATAGGTACGAATAATTGAAGTCTCCTTTAGTTTCTATAGGATATAGTTTTGACAAGAGGTGAATTTTCTTTCCATATTTGTTAAAAGGCTTAAATCAATTAATGTCTTTTCTTGGTTTGTCTTTGGAGCTTTCACATATTTCAAACAATAGGATTTAGAGATTTTTCTTGATACTAAAACTAATCAAGGCTGTATAGCCTGAATAAACTATAGTCAAATAACAAATTTCTATAGATTATCTTGTGTATAAGTATGCATATGATTGATAAATATGTATCTTATACAATGTAACTTAAATTGTAAAAATTATTTTATAGTGTAATTGAATCAGTAACTTGTGAATGATAACCTGTGAGCATATTCACTGTACTATTGATTCACAAGTTTTTATTATAAAGCATACTATATAAAGTTTTGCTTTTTCAATATACAGTATAAGGAATTTTTGATATATAACAGGTCTTAGCTTTTATATCATTGAGTATTTTGATTATCAAACTTGAGAATATTCTATTTATATTTAAGAGTTTGATTGAATATTTGTTTCATTTAATTAAAACCTCATTTATTTTTTGATTTATCAACTTTTCATTAGTAAAAATTATTTTTGTTATATTTGTTCTAAGTAGTATTATCCATATTTTTTTTGAGTTAAGTTTGAAATATTCATATTATTTAAGATAAGATTTTATTTTAATCTTGATTTTTGCCTTATAAACATTAATATTTTGAACTTCAATCTATTTTTAAGATGTTTTTTTTATATATAGTAGAATATATATATAATTTTTTTATATACTGTATTTGTCAATAAAATACAATTAAATTAAAATTATAAAATAAAAATATAAATTGGTTTATATTATATAAATATATTTTTATATTTTAATAAGTAAAAACAATATAACTTTTTTCACTGCAATAGTGACCTGCAGGCAATGAAGTTAACAGTTGAAAGGATCTTTATCTGAACTGCTAATAAAATGATAAATCACTTCCAAAGTTGCACTTAAAGTTTTAATAATTCTTAAAATAGAGATGAGTGAGTTAGATAGAGACTTAGCTTTAATGATACATTTTTAATGTAAAGTATACATATGTTTAATAAAGCATACATACCTAACCTGACAGAGAGGGTATTAAAAAAAAAAAACAAAAAAAATATATAACTTTTTTCAATAATAATATACAATTTTAATTTTAAGAATATTATTTTTTTTGCTACATTTAAATGAATGTTTGATTTTAGAAAATAATTAAATTATTAAATAAAAATTATCAATTATATTATTTTAAAAATAATTATACTAATATTTAAGCCAAATTTTCATTAGCAAAGTTTAAATGTTTTTATCAAACGATTATCTCGTTGAATTTATTGTAAATTCTTATTTTGCTAAAGGTAATAAAGTTAAACTAACTAATAAGTAAACGAAAATAGCTATATTGACATGAACACTGCCATTTGTGACTGAAAGCATATGATCCGATTGCATGAAACGCAGAAGAATCTTACTCGGTATTCCTTTATGCACACTATATGCTACATAGAAATGCGGGGATATCGTTTACACATGGCGAACACTTATTTACTACGTTCTCAATGAAATGGGCTACTATTTAACATAGATGAAATAAGGTTCACATCACTCATGTTCTCGTTCTCAACATGTCATAAAAAACGCCTGCAATATTTCCTTTTCTTTTTCTCATGTGAAAACACAATAACCGCGCATTATTTTTCCTTCACACATACGCAGCCAATTAACGAAGTAAAGGATAGTTGGACCCATTATCGGATGATAAAATCCATTTATATTGCAAAAAAAATGATCACCTTCTAATAAAAGCAATATTACAATAATACCTTTTTGGTACATCATACCGTATGTACTGTAGTACGTAGGTACCAAAAAAATAAAAAGCCTAGAAGTTAATGATCCAACATACATACTGTATAATTTACCTGACAGAATTATGACAGCACTAGCACGACAAATTGGTTATATCAGATTACAAAAAAATAATCTAAAGTAACGAAAACATAAATATTGATTAGATTCCGAGAATTTTTATTCGTCAAGAATATCGCAGGTGTTTACATTTACACGTTTAAATCAATGCACGCCATTTAAAAGTAAACGCCAAAAAAAAAAAAGAAAAAAAAAAAGGATTATATGGTCCTGCAGAGTTTTATTTGTTGGCCATTCGTCTCAATGTTTACATGCATCGTGTTTGCCTTATGTGTTCTTTTATACATCTTTTTTGATCAAGAATCAAACACAGTATTTAATGATATCTATCTAAGCCTAATTCTGTCTGTTTACGCGTGTGACAAATGCGATTTGGCAATAGGTAACGTTACTTTACAACTAATTTAAGGACACCACGGGAATGTAGCTTCCTTAGGATTCAGTGTAACACGGATGTTATTTCTGCTCTCTTAAAGAGATGCATTATTTAATTTGTGCTAGGAAAGAAGGTTGAAATGATTATTACGAAATTGGTCATGTAAGACCTAACTCATGTAAGGTTTTGTAGCCTCTCTGATAGTTACTCTATCACTACTAAAATGAGAAAAGTGATCGTTGAGGTCATCGGAGTTTAAAAATGATACCGATCAATTGTCAGTATCAAAGTCAGAGTTTCATAGCAGAATGACTCCTTGCAAGGGCTTATATAGGCTTATCGAGTATGAATCATTGATCAATTGTTGATACATGGTTATGACGTTTATCAAACCCCTTACGGAATTAGTTTAAAACCTTAAATTAAATTTGTAACACTAAACTATGATAATATAATGATGATTGCTCAAATTGGTTCTAACCATAGTTGATGGCGTACAACCATACGCTTGGAAACAAAATGAATATCCCACAACCTTGTTAGAAAATAAGGAATTGTGACCACCTGCTTGGTAACCTAAAGCAAATGTAAATGGAATAGCAAATTTCGTGATTTTGTGCTAACGAAAATTTGATACCGTTTTCATTGATATTTTATCTTAATACATACATGATAATATAAATAATTATGAGTTCGCAGATTAAAAAGGGTGATCATCGTGACACTAGTAATTTGATATCATTCTCCGCGTGATATAATCACCATTAACCGTTACCCTTTGAATTTTATTAAGAATTTATTGAGAACATTATGATGGTGTTGTGTTATTTCTCGCGCAACCGTGAAGCTATCCTCATAACAATTATAATATTACATGATGATTAATCGTGCTCATTCAATACATAGCCCAATTGGGTTGATCCCGACAAATGCTTGGTCAAACCTGGAACACATGGATAATTATTATGTTTCTCAAAATAACCAATCATAAAGCGCTTGCTGCGGCAAATCGTAATTCAAATCGCGACAGATTATTTCTCCGACCAATTTGATTTCTCCCTTTGGCGTCATTAACCCCACCGGCTTCATCGAAAGGAGAAAGGAAGGCTGATGGTGTATTTTCATGGAATTTTACCAGGTGTAGTGCATATTGTTTCACCAGGATTAAATTCGAGAACACCAAATTCACATTCCTTAGACGGTGAGATTACCGACAAAACGATGAAGAAATAAACAAATCAACCGAATAAAGATTGAACGCCTCAAACTTGTAAAAATGGTGTTCATTCGACCCCCATTCAACCACCAACATAGCATCGCCTTTATGCCGTGAACCTGATTCACAACTTATGCATTTATCACCATTACTGCGCCTACAAATTTCATCCACTACAAATAGTTAACATCTTACTTATTCCACCTGGCCACAAGACGGAAAATTTTGGAAATTCGATAAACATTTCGCATTTCCCTTTTCCTTTTCTTGAAGCGGCTTCTAGTTCTGCTTTTTCTTTTTGCTTCTCGAGCAAACAAACATACATATAGCATTCTCAAAAAAAAAAAAAAAAAAAAAAATTTATCTCAGAGTATAAAAGTCTTTCTTTTCCCTTCATTAACCATGGGAGTTTTTTTACAAACAACCGAGGTTCGAAGAAAGACCGTCATGTCTGAATATAAATCGTCGGCAAATTTCAAGATGTTAGTTTAATAACTTCCACAGTCTCTCTTTACTATATATAGAAAGTTTCTTAATGCGGGTAAAAAATGTTCAGGAAAAAGAGAATCAAGGAGTTTTCTCAACATTCGCTTCCTCAATGCGTAATATTAAAGGAATATGTTGGATAACTCTTTCGTCCTGACCTTCAACAAAAAAAAAAAATCTTTTTCTTGCACATTATTTCCCGATGATTTTTACCAAAATTTTTTTACCTTCACGCAAATCATTTACCTTTATCTTTGCTAATTTCTAACAGGATAGAGTTAGGCTCTTCACCTGCTCTAGTGTCGGATGTGCTCGAGGAAATATTTTTAATGGTAGCGGAAGTGGATTCACCGTTCGCCTATTATGATCACACGGCACTGAAAAATCTATACTCGTGTTTATTGGTAAACCGACAATGGTGTGAGAGTGCTGTGCGTATTTTATGGAGAAGGCCGTTTACTCCATTTCACAATGGAGGCCATAAATTAATAACAACTTATTTACGAGGGTTGGATATTGAAGAAAGGAGGGATTTGAAATTAAAAGGGATCAAATTACCCACAGTTTCTCCGATTCCCCTATTTAACTATCCTTCCTTCATTCGACATCTTGATTACGGCGAAATGTTATATGCCGTGGAAATTTGGTGCAGCAAATTACCTAAAAAAAGACCAACCGCTGTCATATCTGTTATGAGAGTTTTACTTAGACTTTTCTTGTATAATGCTGGTCCTCTTTCGTCATTAAAACTTGCGACAATCGGTGAGGATTATCATGATGAAAAGTGTATGATTCTGACTGAACCTGAAATTAAGGGCCTGATTACCTCTGTGAGAACCCTTTCGCTTGACGGTTTCGATTATAATCAGCAAGGTTTACTGCTTAGACTACCGGACTTATGCCAGAATGTGGTAAGCATTTTTAAAAAATTTGAACTTTTCGCATTTCTACAAAATGAACATTTTAAATGGAGTAAATGTAATCGCGTATTTTAAGTTTAACGCGCATTCTTCTCATGTATTATTTTTACATTGATACTGATTTGTCATAGGAAAATCTATGCCTCCGCGGATGGTATGGTCACCAACAGCACAAGGTCGGTGCAGCACCCGATGACTCTGCTGCAATCTCGTTGCGAAGATTAATAAAGGCACAAAGGAATCTGAAAACCCTTGACATGATTGATTGCAAATCATATCTAGGTTACATAATATCCGCACTGGATACACAATCGATATCACTGAAGACGATGAAATTTCGGTTGGTGGATTTTCAGGATTGTGGACCATGGGAAGGATTGGCGTCTTGTCTGAATTTAAGGAGTTTGGAATTTTGGTTTTGCAAGGGAATTACTCATAAGATGATCAAACCACTGTTGAATGGTGGAGTATTTAGTGAATTGGAGGAAGTCAAACTATCACAGTATGGAGGTGGGTGTGCGGAACTCAATATTTGGGTGAACACAATTAATGGGACCAGCATTAACAAATCGACGAGATATGACGACGAAAATGAGGAATGAAAAAAAAAAAGAAAAGAAAAGAAACACTCAAAAAAGATGCAAAAAAAAAAAAAAAAAAAAAATAGATACCAAAAAAAAAAAAAGGATATCAAAAAAAAAAAAAAAAAAAGAATACCAAAAAAAGATATCAAAAAAAAAAAAAAAAAAAACCAAAAACAAAAATTCGCATAAACCATCAATCGAATTAATATATATATATGTATCTACTCATATCACATACTGCATACACTACAGAAAAATAGATATATTCTTATCCATGCACTCAGAGATTCAAAAAACATTTATACATTCGAATTATTAATTCCTCTTAGGATATTTGCCCGTTCTAAAGATTAGAGTGATAAGAGGTGCATTAGTTTTCGAATGTGCATTAGAAAGTATTGATAATAATTCTCTGATAAGACACATTTTCCAATTGTCAACAATCAGATGAACTGAATCGATCACCTGTAACTATCTTGTATTCGATCAAATACTAATGATTTATTCGGAAATAATTAATTTTAACAAAAATAATATTTGCCTTGAATTTAAGGTTATAGTTAATTTGATAAAGTAAATTTTAATTTTTAAATATAATCAACTTGTCGAGATATTTAAATAATAAATTTTTATTTAAACAAAAACAATTAAATAGTAATAAACCATAAAAATAAGTTTATTTGATATAAAAATTAATTGAAAGAAGACTATATTTAATTATTAATTAATCGTCATTACTAGATACAAAAATTTTTTATATTTATTAAAAAGACTTTAATAAAATTCCATAAAATTTAAAATTTAAATACTTTAGTAAATAGCAATTAATCGAAGTTAAAAATTAGCTTTTTTTAACTAAAATAGTTAAAAAAGTTTTATTATTAGAAACTTAGAGCATAATATACTTTATAACGTTAATAAAATTTGTTCTTTGACTAATTATATATATACTTTGACAAGTTAATTATATATATATATATTATTAAACTATTCATATAATTTTGTTTATTAAAAACTTTACAAAAAAAAATTTTTTTTTTTAATTTTTTTGATATTTTTTTAGTTTTAATTTTATTAAAATTTTATAAATAAATTAATTCTAATAATTTCTTAACTTTGCTATTTTTAAAAATATTATATTTATTTTTGTTTTATCATATTTTTATATATTAAGTTTCAAACTTTTTTTTTTGAAGTAATTATAAGTTTTTTTTTATATTATCTTGTTTTATTATTAATTTTTTAGTAATATTTAATTTTATTATTCTTGAAATCAAATAGTTATTTTTTTTTAATTTATCATTAAGCTAATATAACTTTTTTTTATTATACAGTATATTAAAAAAAATAATTTCAATTTAAGTAACTTTTACATATCAATTTATTCATTATTAAAGTTTATTTTTTTTATATAACTAAAAAATAATATTTTAATTATTTTATAATTTAAATTATTTTTTAATTATAAAGTTCTATACTTGTAAATTATTATTGTAAATTTTCTAAAATTCTATTTAATAAATTAAAAATATAATTATTTTTTTTTTATATTATTTATTTTTCAATAACTTTTTTTAAATATATATTATTTCAAAAATATACATTTTCAAATATTTCTTTTTTAAATATAAAACTTTTTTTTTAACTTGCAATCAAGTCAACATAACATATCTTTATTATATATATATATAAAGATATTTACAAAATATTTTGACTTTCATATATTAACTTATTTAGTTTTTTTTTTGTTTTTTTTTTAACCGGCAAAGTCCTGCCATTGAGTTTTTATTTATTCATTAGTACAAGCTTATATACATAAATTTAATTGCGAGTCTATATATTTATGAAAGAAAAAAAACATTATGACTCAATATTCTATTACTAGAAACCCTGTGACTTGTTGCAGTCCATCTTGGTAGGTACTAGTATGTCAAGATTTTATTAGCACTAATATTGATTGAAAAGAAAAAGAAAGTGAAATAACTGTTATTAAGGGTGTTTTCTGTTATGATGTTTGTAAGTTCTATATATAGTTGCCCAATCCTGTCTTTAAAGTATTTGTTTAGATCTATTTGAACTTATTCAGGCTCTGGCTCTGCCTCAAAGGATTTGATGGCTTGTATAGTTGGTGAGTCAGTACTTTGTGGTATTATTTGATGGTTGACTATATTTCATTTGACCTGTCCCTTTCTACACTTGAGTTTTTTTTCTATGTTTTGACTTTTTTCCCAACTGATTGTGATACCATATCTCCATTTTCATGCTTCTTGCTTGGCTTGCCAAAATTTATATATTGCTTCTCTAATTGCGTCTAGTGCTCTACTTCTGTCTTTAGTTATAGATTCTGCTACTTGGATCATATTATGTGTTATGACTTCCTTAGCAATGTTCTTCCATTCAACTTGATGCCATACTTGAATGTTTTCATTGTACTCCTGTGTTATTGATGTTCTTTTCCATTTGCTTTGAATTGGTTCTGTCTGTTTGCCTTCAGCTCTTGCTGCACTTTCCTCTGTTAGGACCTGTAGGCATTCTTCCTGAAGTTTTGTTTGTGTTGTGTCACATTGAAAGATTTGATGGTTTGTTTCTCTATGCTGTTTACAGATTTTACACTTGTTATTCAAATATATTTCAGGGCATCTTTCATTTAGTTTGTCCATGATAGATAGTTCTTTTATTCATGTTTTGATTCTGAAGGAACGGTTGTGTGATCTCTTATATTAGTTGTTGTTGTTATAATTTTGGAAGTCATTAGAAGCTCGAATGTTAAGGGCCAGTGGATTTCCCTGAATTTTTTTTGGTTCAGCCAGTCCTGATTCCTACATAATGTTCGCCATTTACTTGCCCATTTGTTCTTAAGGATCTGCCTTGTTAGAAGCTTAATTGTGATGTCATATTGTTTTTGATTTCATTTAGTTAGAATGTTTGTTGTTGTTATTAGTGTGTTAACTGTTATAATGTGTTTGGGCCACAGGCTTAATTTGTAATTTTATTAATTGAAACTGTTATGTTATTACAAATAAGTAGTTTTATATATATGCTATAGTAAATCATATCTATATGGATAGTTATATATATATTTAACTAATACTATATATCACCACTACCAGCCCAATAACAAACTGGAAGCCTGCACAATTCCGTCTTAATTATTTCTAAAACAATTTTTATTAAGAGTATTCTAGTTATCAAGCCGTCGAATTCAGTATCCTGGATCTCAGTTTTTGATCCTTTGGAGTGGTCCACGGATTTCTCCTACCACCAAGGCCTCCTGATAGTCAAGTCAATGAAACCTGGCATAGCCACATATATAAAGACCAGGACTCGCTTAAATTAGAAGAGTCTTTTTCTTGCACATGAATTTTTGTATGAAGCCATTTGTGTCCCTAAATGAGTTGTTTTCTTGTTTTGATCCTGAGAGACATGCTACTGGTTTGAGGATCTACTCTTCTTGCTACCATTTCTGATAACACAGTTGTATCAATAATAATCCTATCTGATTTGGATCACAACCTGATCACAATCTAGATATAGACCGGATGCTATATTTAGAAACATTAGTTAGTTTATAGTTACGTCAATGGATGGATTCAATTCCTCGATCTGTTATATATTTGGATAGAATTGAAACCAGATCTTGTAATCTGATCTACGAAGTGCTAACCACTGCACTATGGACCCGTAGATCTATTAACTTATCCATTGTTAAAAAACTGTTTCTCTAAATACAACTTAAGAAATAATATTTCACACTTTTATTAACTTTGATAAATCCTCTAGTTAATAAAATTATTGTTTACAAGTTATTATTGTAGATTATTTTAAATTCTACCTATAATTAAAAACTGAATTATTTAGCTCCATTTTTTTTTTTTTAAAAAAAATACATATTATTTTTATTACAAAGCTATTTTGTAAATGTTTTCCTATATTAACTGTCTAAAAATTTTCTTAAAAAAGTCAGTTTATTATCAGACCCTCTATAACTTGTTACCCATATTGTATATAAAACTAACATACCTAGGCTCCATTAACATACAATAAAATATTAAAAATGGGGTTTATATCAAAAATAATATTGATCAGCAGGTTGTGATCCAGTTGTATATGTGATATAAGTTACAGCATTTTGTAATTGTTTTGTCTGTGATTTGTGTTTTTTTTGTGTAAGATATTATTATCTTTAATTCATTTGTGAAAACACCTATAACTATCTTTTAATATATTGAAGGTGATAAATTTAATGTTATTAATTATGTCTCTGATAGTTTTGGCACCTTATTTTGTTTAGATATTGTGTTATGAGATTGGTTATACTTTTGTTGATCTCTTTTCTAAGGAAGGTGTCTCAAATATTATAGTTATCAAGATTGATTAAGGTTTCAGCCTTGATGTTGATGCATTTAGCTCTATAATAAACCCAATTATTAATAATTTCTATATATTTATTCTCTCTTTTCTTTTGAAAACTTCCTGTTTCAGATCTTCTAAGAATGTTAAAAATTCTTTCTGTTTTTGTATAATCTATATATTAAATTTATATCCAGATCTTTTAAGTCTTTTATTCTCTTCAATAATATTCTGTTTCTTTTTTCACTCTATTACTTTAATATAATAGCTATTCCAAATATTCTTCTTAAAGTTTTTTCTTTTTTTATAACAAAGCTTATTGATTATATTCTATATAGATACTGAGAGAATTTTGAGTTGTGCTTTGAGATAATTCATCAAAAAAGTGATTTAGTTTTCTTTTATATATTAACAGATAGTATTGAAAAGATTATTGTTAAATCTTATTTAGCTATCTATCAATCCATTTATCAGTTGCAGGATAAATTTCTTTTTTATTTTTAATTTTTTTAATTTTATTAAACTAATAATATTCTGATTTTTCTGTTTTGGTTTCAATTAAATATCAAGAAATCTGACTTAATCCTTCTTGTTGATCTCATAAATTATAATTTTTTTGTTCTAGCTTGAACCATTCCAGGATCTTGAAAATTTTAATTAATAATAAGGAGAATTAACTTTATCATATTATTTTATAAGTTATTTGCTACATAAAACTTTTTTGTTTTCTCTAAAATACTTATTAAGTCTTTCTTTGATTTGACAATTCAAATCATATTATCTATATTAATGATTACTACTTATCTTAAAGAGAACTTAATTTTCTTTTCAGATTTATAGAAATTGAGTAATTATTCTTCTTCTATAGTATAATCCAGATTAATATTATTTTGGATTTTATATAGTAATAGGTCATAAAAAATTCTTCATAACAATGAGAGATTGTTTTTTATTAATCTATACTATCTTCTATAACTATTGAATTAGAGAGTTCATTAAAAGAA